ATTGTGCAGGCTCAACTGCTGGGTACAGTTTGGATTATGCAACTTCTCTTTCACCCACAGCACCCTTCCCTGGATCCGCGTGTATTTAGACATTACTTTAGGGAAACTCCATGGGCATGGTTTCCTATAGTGTAACCGCTAAGTAAAGAATTACAAAACCTACTAAGTATGGGTTTAAGGGATTGGGTTCACAGTAAACATTATTGTCTTCTTTGCCTCTCCCTCTCCTTGTCCTCTTTATCTCGGATAATCTACTCGATGAAGGACGACATCCGTTTCCATCTATCTTCATTTGAGATCATAATATCAATTATGTTGTTCATATTCAGAGTTAATCCTAAATCGGAATAGAGGGTCTTTCTTTCTTGGTTTCGTGTGGAACACTCAAAAATGGTATGTCCTGGATCATCAACATAGGACATGACATTCCCTACAGGTGGGAGTTGTACTGTTCCCAATCTTAAACAGGTAAGTTTCAAAACAGCCATGTCCAGTTAGGTTAGTTAGGAACTGCGTTGTTCTAAAGTTTATCCCCCGTCTAAGAGGTGTCTTTATCCATTTTTTTAAAATTGGATATTAAACGCCGAGTACAATTAGAAAACTGGACCTCCAACCATCTTGAGTTCCATTCCTCTAGGATGAAAATTCGTTCATCCTGTCACCATTATCACGCTGTTTCTACTTCGTCTACATGATGAGTGAGTGTATGTGTGTGTTTTACGACACGACACGCTGTAGCAGCACATAAGACTGATATTATACATTGCTGCATTCCTCCTACAATACTAGCCATCGTTGCATCTGCCTGCCAGGATGATATCCTGATATGTATTATGAAGGGAGAATGAAGGAGGGCAAATAATAAACGAAACAATAATTATATTTAATAAAATTGAAATGTTTATTAAAAAAGAAATGTCCCGAATGAACATGGGCCACAGAATGAACGCCATGAGTTTTCTTTTGTAATTATTTTATAAGTCGATTAATAAAATCCCACATGTAAAACTTTCTGTATGTTACAAAACATGAATGACACAAGATATCATATATATGCGTAAGCATATAAGTACAAAAAGGGAAAAATTGTTTTGGCAAATAAAAACATTTATAAAAATTATATACTTTTAGATATTAATACACCATTGATAAATGCACATTTATTGCATGCTGTGACTACCTCTTACGGTTAATATACATGTAAAATAAAAAAATCAATTTGTTTATAACTGACGCATCGTAGAAAATTTGTCTTTCGGTGTAACCGTTACGAAGTTATATTAAGAAACCGAAAAAAACGCGAACGCTTTAAAGGCTGATTTCATCCCTTCAGAATAAAAACGGGCACAATAAAAAATTGGTCCAAGCATAGTTCAATATGCTCTACATTCTACATTCATGCGAAGTTTCATTACAATCAGAATTTTCGGATTCGGTACCTTCCTTTGTAAGTGAAACAGGTGTAATGTGTTTATAAAATTGCTTGAAAGCTAAAATATTTATATTTCAGTAAACTCGAAAGCTAAAATATTTACATTTACTTCATTCTGTACGAATTCGATGGATTGTCTGTTCCAAGTGAACATCAATCGATATTTAAATTTAGAAGAGACTCCAAAATGACTAATTTCTATGATTTACATAATACAAGAATTGCCGTTAGTTGGCGGTATTATTTTATTTTGAGGCGCTAATTGTAAAACATAATGCTGCATATAAGGTCAATGTCCCTATTTTTAATTATATAAGAGTTCTGCTATCGCAGAAATTGATTTTTATTATTTATTTATGCAACAATCGACAACAAATTTATTAGATATAAAATTTAAACCTCCCTCTATAATTACATTTAAATAAAAGTAGTTTTAAAAACCAAACATTAGCGAACAATATTAAAGATTTCGTAAGTTTTTTTTTCAGAAATCGGGACCCGATTAGAAATAGGTACATTGACCTTAGTTACGCATCCTACAATATCAAGAAAACCCGCTTTGTGCTTTATCACCACTCTACATCATTTTCATCATGAATACGTATTTATATGCTAGTCCCAACTTAGAACACATTCCCAGGGGACGTGGTTTTCGAGCTCCCGTCCAGTCGTTTAGTCAAACACACTAAGAAATGGAAATAAGGAGTATGAGCTCGCAATGACTTGCTCAGCCCTACAACTATATTATTACTAGCTTCAGGAAGACTGTTTGCTTCGAGTTCAGTTGTCATATGAGATGATTACTTTCGGAAAATTTTTTAATAAAAAATAATGATAAAATCAAAGAAAATGTTAAATAACCAAGGAATTAATCGTAATTATTTACGATTATTTCCTTATAATAATCATGATTATTTACCAAGATTAACACAAAAAGTTATTTATGGTACATATATTATAAATAAAAGCCAGTGTTACCTGAGCAGCTGTAAAAGTTGCAATACACAGTAGTAATAAAGATTTCAATATGTCATCGAATGAAATTACAGTAGAGGCTCGATAATTGATTATTTCGGGGTTGTAGAGACCCAGATTTCCAAGAACGAAAATTCAATTTGACAATCGTCCGTTCACTTGTCCTCATAGCTACATATAGGGTAGGCTGGATGTACGCATCTTTTGATCACCTTACTATCTCCGTTATTTTTAGAGATATCAAAACAACTTATTTACAAAAGTTATTGCGTATTGAAACATTTGATTATAACAATATTAAATATTGTGCACTTTCTGCAATGAAAAATATGTGGGTTAAACACGACACCGTATGTATTTCGTTCCTTCGTTGCTGGGCGAAGGAGGGGTAAGCGCACACATATGTGAGCTTAATTACTGAGCTTGTACTGTATGTATATTTCTTCTGTAAAATATAAGAATTTTTACATTATAAAAATAACGTATAAATTTCGTTCCTCTTTGTAAAATAAAATTAAACTTGTGTTCTTAGTAGATAACATAAATGGGAATAAGGATAATCATGTTCCGAGGTGAATGTTGTGCCATGCTTCAATACTACTGTCACAAAATGCGTTTATTTTTATCATTAATGTATACTGTTTATTATAAATAAGTTAGAAACATTGATTTTATTTTGGGCTTGGTAGGTGTTTACATTTTATACACACAGAAAGAATACCCAACATATTATGCTTTCAGAAAAATGTATACTTTGACAAAAAATGATTTACAAATAAACTATAGCGACAAATTTTCACGACACTCGTTCATTCGCGAATCAGACGATAGAAAGTCTGGTTTGTCTCAACCGTTTTTTTTTTTTAAACTTTTGTTAAAATGTCGCATTCATACGGCATACTAGGTACACTTTCTCGTTCTCGTTCTCTCTGACTGTCTTGCTCTCCCTCCCATTTATTCTACCATATTTTCTCACTAGCATCGTTTTGCACTTGGAATACACATCTGTTTCCTCTCCATTACTGCAACCCATTCGTTTGAATAGCTCACTTTCACTGAAAACCAAGCAGTATTATTATTACTGTTCAATTATTATTATTATTATTATTATTATTATTATTATTATTATTATTATTCAATATTATTTGTTATTATCTCTTAATATTATATTTCATTCAATGTATTTATATGTTTTTTCATTTATACAGGGTGATTCCCTCGCTGCGCAAATCGAAGACTGCGCCGCTCTAAAGAATCGCCGTGTCGACACGTGTGTATGTGGCCCCGAGGCGTCAACAACAACAGTGAAAACATATCGACAGATTACACGTGTCCGACGCGGCGGTTCTGTCGAACGACACGGTCTCTGGTTTGTGCAGCAAAAGAATCACCCTGTATAAACTCAGTGTCTCAACCGAAGTAGGTATGACATATGCTGCCCAGTGTGCATCTAGTGTTATCAGTCTTAGACAATCGGACCACACTTATCCAAATGTCACGCTCGAATTTACCAATCTGACCAACACTGTGGAGTTTATTTTTGCTAATACTCTCTAGATACGTATAAAGCGGTTTCCTCCACCTTTATAAAAGTGTTCAAAGTACGGAACATTGCAAGATGGTAGAAACAGCCGTCAAGTAGATCCATCAGAGAATATAAGCAGTGGGCAGCGCGCTAACCAGCATGAGCGAGCGCAGGCAGTGAGCAGGTCATACATACGTACAATATAATGTGGATACAATGCGTGCCAGTGGCCTATCTTCTGTGAACCACGTCCCTTGCTACGCAGTGCTGTGCCAACAATCGAGGGCTGGATGAAAGGAAAGCTATCGTTATGATTAAGCGTCCTTTGTATTGTTTATGAATCGTATAATTATAGTTGTATGGCGTGAGATCGCAGCCCTCGCATTCTGTACACAGTCTACGGAGAAGAAAGATAACAGAATAATCTGAAATCTCTCACCTCAATAATTACCTAAATCTCACCTCATAATTCTCTAATAATTTGTTAATATTGAAGAAGGTTAAGGGTTCCTTCTTGCTGGTTTGTATGTTGCTTTCTTTTGATGCTAATCTATGTTTCATTTCATATATTATATATAACAATATTTATACGATGAATTATGAATTTGAGTCACATGCAGAAAAAACCTTCACTCGCTTCTGGCACAGATTAAAGAAAGAAAAAAAAAACACTTTGGCTTTTTGCATCTAAGAAAGGACTGCAATTAAAACACCACCCTAGTAAATGGCACTAGAATTGTTCTCACTTGTGTCACCGACTACTTGTGATTAAAAAGCATTTATCCATTTTTGCTTTCAGTTTCACACTGAGATCTCTCTCGATTTGAGATAAACAATTGGACAAACATTTGTATGGCATCGCTGCGCTATGTCTCATACCTTTATTTACGTGTTGGTATTTGTTATATAAAAATCAGACGATTATGTAGTCAACCACGCATGATCGACTAAACTAATCTATAAAAAGGTAACAAATTCAACAAATAGTGTACAAAACCAAATCAGATTGTTGATATTGACAGTGAAAAAGTTTAGGAAAGAACGTATGACGCTTTGATTTAGGTCCATGTTCGCTCATCGCTGTTACTTCCTTTGTTAATTTTACTAATAGTTGGTACACTTGTAATGGACCAGCGACAGTATGCTGATGGCACCACAATTGATTGTTTATTTTCATTTTTCTCCCTTTTAACGTTTCCATTTGTGCAACTTAACAGAGTTCACACTGATACCTCGGTCAGGGTATAAGAAAAATTCTTGAGTCCATTTGGATTTTCACATATTGCCATCTAAACAAGATTGTATTCTTTTAAATTGGATTGTAGAATGGTGTCTTTCACTGCGGCAAAGACGAATCTGATGTTTTCCGTATCTGTAAAAGAAACGATTGTGAGAATTTGAAATTTATGTATACAGGGTGTCCCAAAATAGCTTCGATTCCCAGAAAGTAGGGGTTCCTGGGATGATTTAAAATAACTTTTTCCTTAGTACAAATGTTATTCGAGGCTTTGTTAACGAGATATTAACGATAACCCCCAACCAATTAGAACGCGAGTCTGCCGGCCGGGGTTTTTCGTTAATATCCGTTAATAAAGCCTTGAATAACATTTTTGCTAAGGAAAGAGTTGTTTGAAATCATCTCAGGAACCACTCATTTCCGGGAGTCGAAGGTAATTGGGGATACCCTGTATATGCACATATTACATATACATATATGTCACAACTTTCACAAATATACATATCGATCAATGTATACAGATTAAATTAGATTTATTAAAACTCAAAGCCACTCAAAGATACTAATAGAATATTATAAACTGTAAGAATTTAAAAATTTGTTGTAAATTGTCTTTCATTCATATTTTCAGTGTTTCAGCATTAACAGTTTATGGAAGTAAATTAGGATTTGACTTTAGTTTTAAGACTAAATTGTTTTATATAAATACTGCTGATTTAAATTAGAGATAGAAATACATCTGTGAAACTTATTAATATTCTTATGCCATTGTTATAATGTAATAACATTAATAAAATTATTTAATAATTGAAGTATCCTGACAATCTGCACATAAATATTAAGTAAATTATAAAAAGTATATTATAAAGAATAATGTAAATAAACTATAAATGTTTAAATGTGCAAAATGCAGTAAAGTATAATGAAGTTGGTATTTTATTTGCATTCTTAAATTATCCTACACAAATTTGGATATCCAAAACTTCTACAGTTTAATTATTATGATCTAAAAATGAGACATTCGATAATTGAGCCGTTTTTTTTAAAGTGGTATAAGTCTATTTATTCATACATTGAGATATTTCAGGGTTTGCGTTTAAAGTTTAAAGCCTTGTTGTTCTTCGCTGACTTTAAATAGTACAGACTGAGGCACGTACGCGTTACCGTCTGTGCAGGTAGGATAGCCTGTTACGAAGAAATGAGGAGGCATCATTCTCTGTCGACGTCAACGGCAGCGCTGGTCGGTTTGAAACCGCCGTCGCGGGTATAACCGATCGACAGTTCAATCGAGGTAGTTCAATTAGAATAGTTCAAAGATGAACACCATAAGAGAAGTTATTATAAGTGTTATTAGAAATATAAAAAGAAGACATCTACGTGTAACTGAAACTGGCCATAACTCATTTTTTTCAAAACAGGACTTATACCACTGTAAAACAAATGGCTCAATTAATATTTCATATATAAAAATCACAAAAAGAATAAACAGTGAACTTACCATTTATGATTAGTATAAACTGAAGTTGACGTGTACATGCAACATGCAATATTAATGTTTCATTTGTGAAAATTCGCAACACCACAAACATACAAAATATACAACCTTGTATAGGATTAACTAATAAACGAATTTCATTATATTGTGCAATAATGTATTTAAATTAAATAACAGAAGTACATAAATTAATGATTCTGTTTTATCTTTACAGTTCACAATTAAAAATACTATATAAGTAAACCACAGAAGTTATATAATAGTCACAGAAGTTTTACAAAAGTATATACAAAAGAAGAAAAGCATAGTTATAATTTGATGACCTTGATTTAACTTAATAAAATAGTTTAATATTGATGAAATATCACATACGTTTGAAAAACTGAATGTAACACATGATGCCACAAATATGAAGTGTAATATAGTTGGTTGTATATGGTTAACTGTGCTTCTCTGATATACATATACACAAGAATACATATATCGATAAAACAATGTATACGTGCACAGATTGTAAATTAATACATAATGTAAGTTTTGTTCACAGTATTGTGTACAAAATAATGTTTCTACTTAACTGATTCTGGAAGTTTAAGAAATTATTAACTTATAATTAACTTGCAAAGTTGAACGTACACTGATATGAAATTCTGACTTTTAAAATATAAGAAAAAATACTGAAATAAGTAAAATACATTGATACTCAATTGAATATTAAAAAGTATATTTTTTATGGAAATCTTGCATGGAGACTTTATGTGAAGTACTACAAATTTAATGCAAGGTGAATTTCTCCATATTATAATAAAAGGTATTACAACAAGCTATAATCAATGTTAATATTATTATAATTATTAAATAAAAATGAATTTCACCCATCTTGTTATAGATTAACAAATTCAGCCAACAAAAACAATTTCTTGTAATTCTATGATCTCAGAAAACAATATATTACCCAATATACTCAAAAAAGTGTAGATACAATACATTACTGAATTTCTTCTATTAGAAGTGTATATTTAATTTTATGAGTAATTTTATACATTAAATAATATGCAAATAAACAAGGTTCTATGACTCATGCATTAAAACTTTGTGCTGTGCATATTTTTTAAATAACCTTATAAGATAAGCAGTTATTGTGAAAATTAGATATAATTATTGAATTGACCATATTGAGTTGAATATAATTCTTTAAATTTTACTCTTCTATATATGCCAGGCATGGCCAATATACGACTCGCGAGCCACTCTGTCCTCCTCCCCTTCCGTTCTGTTCTGTTCTATCGTAATGTCCCCCCTCCATACCTGCCATTTATGTGTAGCACAACTGAGTAGTGGGGGGAACGGACTGAGTAATGGTAAGGACCATCTCGTTTTTACCAACAACATATTGGCCAGGCCTGATATATGTCATAGTTAAAATATATCACATTCTATACTGCAGTTGATTTTACTTGTATATGGTAAAGAAACATATTTCCAATATTGGCACAGTATACTGATATTTAGAGAACTATATAAAACTATTTTTTTTTTTTAAACTACAACACTAGTGATACTAAGCATTTTTTCATTTTATTTAATTTTTCATATTATTCAGATATCTTCGGTAAAATGATTTATGTATAACTAATATTATCCAAAGAAAACATTTAATATATTGCACAGAAAATGAATTCATTTGTATTTACAATACAACCTGCATTAGTATCTACAAACATTCGCGTATCGGTGAGACAACATTAATGTACCGATGCATATTTTTTATTTTTTATTATTTTTCGACGCTCAGTCCCTTCTTCTTTTTCACGAGCTGTCCTTTTCTACGCTCGGCGTTGATTTTATATTTAAAACCGATTCCTTTACTTACAAGTTACAAGAGAAAGTTCCGAACCTGATAATTCTGATTTAAATGAAACTTCGCATGCATGTAGAGCATACTGAACTATGCTTCTAGCAATTTTTTGTTTCGTGCCCGTTTTCACTCTGAAGGCGTGAAATCAGTCCTTAATGTTTTCGCGGTTTCTTTTTTCATTTTCTTAAAATGACTTTGTAACGGTACGGGATAAAATAAAACTGTAAACACTATGACTATCTCTAATTCTTACGGTTAAGAATTTATATATAAAATAACAAAAAAATCATTTTGTTTATAAATGACGCATCGTAAAGAATTTTCTTTCAGTAACGTAGTAGATCATAAATAAACGAACAATTTTTGTATTTACAGTTTTGCTTTATCTCGTGTCGTTACAAAGATATATTAAGAAAACGAAAAGACGCAAATTTAAGGGCGCATTTCATTCGTTTAAAGTTAAAACTGGCACCAAACAACAATTGCTCCAAGTATAGTTCAATATGCTCTATATTCATGCGAAATTTCATTAAATTTAGAATTTTCGGGTTGGAACCCTTCATTGTTAGTACCCTACCTAACCCGAGATCCAGTCTCAATTTGCAGGTATTACCGCAGGTTTTATTGTACTTTTTTACATACCAATGTTCGTTCAAACATTGATATCAACGTTGTAAAAAATCTCTGTAGGTTGTCACTGAAAGAAATGTAATGTATGTATGTGTACCGTTATATAATGTATATATAAATGCAAAAATTGTCCACAATTACATTAGGCAAGATTAAATTCCTTAAGTGCTGTTTGCATAATTGTATCTTTAACGGCACAGAATACAAGCTTGATATTTTCAGTGTCTGATGTATAATCCCATAAACGCAGCATGCAACAATAAATAACATATGATTGTGAGTAACAAATTTTGTCAAAAATGGAAAATCAATCTTAATTTGGAAATATACAATACCACTCAAACGTTTGCAATTATTTATTTGATAAAAGTAAACTCAATTTCTTTATCAAAAAATATATAACTGGATGTTTCAATTTTTATAGCTGTAAAGGTGTTAATTCACTTAATAAGTGAATTAGTCATGCAAAAACATGCTACGCGTTGTGATTGGTAGCCAACGCTTCGCCCGCGGGGCAATTGGGCCGAGGGTGTGGTACTGGGGGTACCGCCTCCTTTCGCGGTCAGCCCACGAGAGGACAGCGTCGAGAGGTGACCCCTCGGCGCTGTAGGTAGGAGGTGGAGGGACGGCACGTGCAGTCGTCTCCGGCGGGAGGGGAAGGGGGCAATCGCCCCCCCCCCGTTCCCAGAGAAGAGCCCTCCCCTCAAACACCTGTAGGAGAGGGCAACGGGCAGGGCTGGTCGCGGTTTTTTTAGCGTGGTGAAATCCCGCATTGGCCGTCTCCGCCCCCAGCAGAGGCGGTGCACATTTTCTAGGTTTTCTCCCCGTAAAAAAAAAAGTAGCCAATGCTACCGCGGAAACTCGTTTTATCTTTTCGTTAATTTCTCGATAACAAAGCCTCGGATAACGTTTTTGCTAAGCAAAAACTTATTTCAAATCATCCCAGGAACCCCTCATTTTCTGAAGTCCAAGATATTTTGAGACACCCTACGGTATAAGGTTTCTATTATTAATTTTATGTACTATATCGTTTTACTTTTTTGAAATGAGTGTTACAAATGGCACCAAACGTTTGAGTAGTATTTTATATTTAGTTATTAAACAGACAACAGATTAATTTTCCAATGACAAGTAAACGTTATTATTATCAAATATTACGCACCTTATTCTGGTCATACAGGCAGCATGCAGTGTTATTTTGCGCAACACATATATTATAATATTATGAAGCAAAAAAAAAAGAATGCATATTACTGCAACAAATATCAGTAGCCTACCTGTGGCACACGTAAAATGTGAATAAATGATTTTCTCCGAGTCAGGATTTAAATCGACAAACATCCTTAAAATAAATTCTCTAGCAGATAAAGCGTCTCTGGGTGGACCTGTGAAATATACAAGGAAGCATACAAGTTAGCATTACTCCTACTTGCAGTTACCTAACTGAGAATACAATTACCGTATCTTCTCTTAATTAGATTGTCAGTGGGATATTACATGAGGATATGAGTAATAATAAATTCAATACTGACTCCTATGCAGAGCTGGAAATTTCGCATGCAGAAGGAATACAAGTCTGATTGGGTATACTATAATCTCCTCGCTATAGAACCATCTTTTCTAACACAATTAGAAAAACAGGGCACACGTATTTCCAGTATTGGCCAAAACGGGTAATATCCATAACCGGATTATACAGGGTGATTCTGACAACTGGGTCGGGCTATATGAAAGAACAGAGGGGGAGGATATAAAGAAGTTTAACTGTTCGTTTGTTTTTTCTGCACCGTAAAACTATTTTTATTCATTGAGGTACATTTGTATCCCGGACGATCGTTAAGGAAATTTATATTTTCTAACAACGTTAACGACTTACCTCAGGGATGCCCAACATGTGGTCCGCGCCAGAGATGGGCACAATTTCATTCGAATAATACATAGTGAGAAGCAGTAGTATTTAAGATCGTCATCTTGACCTTTAAACAGTTCATGAGATTAAATAATTGTTTGCAAAATGTCTACTTAATTCAAGAAAAAATATTATTTTATGATAAAAATAGGAATTACTACGTTCAATCAAGTAAAAATGACGAAATATTTTTTTCATCCTTTATTCGTTATTTGAAACTTTTTATCTAGATAATGAATTTGCCCATCTTTGGTCCGCGCTCTTACCGGCCTACTCTGCCTGTGGTAGGGGAATGATCCCCTTCCATGTCCACCGAACAGCGATCACAATTGGCGCGCGGGACGACGTACAGACAAGAAAGTTCGTGCGCATGCTCCGACCATAACGTCTCGTACGCCGATTCTCGATCGCCAAGCAGCACAACTGACAAGGGAAGGCACGGAAGTCTCCCCCTCCGATTCTGATGAAACTTTGTATGTCTGTTAAGCAGTGAAAACTAAACTTCGAGGGATAGTTTCACCCCTTAAAGTCGCGTCTCAGCCGATAAAAAAGTACGTATCCCTTATTTTTGACTGCTTAACAGACATGAAGTTTCATCAAAATCGGAGCGAGACACTTCCGTGCCTTCCCTTGTGAGTAGTGGGGGAACCGTTTGGACAACAGGCCGTTTAGGGCGTTAGCCAATTTGGGCCAAGGGTCACATGTTGGTCAGGCCTGACTTACCTGAAGTAAATACAGGATATTCCAAAATAGCTTCGACTCCCAGAAATGAGGGATCCGTGAGGTGATTTAAAACAAGTTTTTCCTTAACAAAAATGTTATCCGAGGCTTTGTTAGCGAAATATTAACAAAAAACCCTGACCAATCACAGCGCCAGTCTGCTGGCCGAGTTCCCGCAGAAGCGTTGGCTACCAATCGCAGCGTGTAGCCAATGGTACTACGGCAGCTTGTCCGACAGACTCGCGCTATGATTGGTAGAGGTTTTTCGTTCGATCGTCGAGTGGTTAGACATGTCGAATAGGTATGGTAAATGTTTCGGATATTTTGTCGTTGGTTTTTCTAGTGAAATGGTTATCAGGGCCGTTCCTGGCGGGGGTGCAAAAGATGCCCCCACACCTAAGCAGCCGCAGGCCATTTATTATATGTAAAATTTAATAAGAATAACAATCAAAACTCTTTTAATGATTCCTAAGATTTTAAATAAACAGAATTCAAACAAAATTAATTTTATATGTATTCTTTGGAACACTACTCTTATACAAGTATGAGCTCTCTTTATACAGGGTGAGGCACTTAAAACCGGCCTCCTGAATAACTTAGCTGCTATTGGTGATAGGAAAAAATGCATCAGGCCAAAATTATTCGGATCATTCGAGCTACTCGATTATTTTAAATCGTCCGAAATAATTCGAACCGCTCGGTTCTTTCGGGTTCTCGGATCGGATCGCTTATGGCCGGTTAAAAACAAGCGGCTTGCCTTTCTACCCTAGCAGTGAGAGAATCACCCTGTATATCTCGGCTCGCTTTTTCCGAGTACTCGAAAAGCTCCAATGCCGCATGTGTTTGCTCCCAAGCTGAATGCGTTTCAGATATTTCAAGGTCACCTCTATTTTTTACAATAGAATTGTATTTTATATACATCAATTGATATATTTTTTTATGCTCTATAAAAAAGAACATTAACACTATGCCAATACGAAATCATGTCAAAAGAAACGTAAAAGCGTAGGTCCAACCCGAATGTTGCAAAATTGCAGTCAAAATATCTTTTAACCCTCTGAGTTCTGGACGTGAAACCTGTGCCGGAGTCATTTCTGACTCATATCGATAAGTTACTATTACAATGTTACGGTCGTTCAAGCTCGGGACCCACACCGACATTGTACTACCATAGTAACGGTTGTTCGAGCTCCAGGAATGCTCATTGATGTACTACTATGTGTGTAATGTCCACGGAGGGTTAAAGATGTAGCTTAGCCTAGTTGCATGAAGTATCCTATAGAACTTGTTAAACGGTGCATAAGTTTCCTTTATGATTTTTTTCAATTACACTCGAAATAGAGCTATAGCCTGGCCCAGTTGCCAGAATCATCCGATACAGTAAAGTCTTAATAAATGCTCGGAAAGAACTCCACATTAAATACATACTTCTGCGTCATCCGCAGTATGTACTGGGCGGATCCTCTGCGGAATCTGTCAAGCGAGTAATGTAACACGTCACCGGTTTCCCCTTCACGAGCCGATAGTTGAAAATTTAGAGTTAAAGAAAGGTTTAAACGCTGTGTATCGATGTGACAACACTAATGCACCAATGTGTTTTTGGTTATTCTATTAAAATATTGGAGAGATTTTTCAGATTAAAATGATACCAAATATGGCATAATGTGGGTGATTTATCAGGAACGATAATGAAAGAAAATGAGTTAACATGAAATAAATAAAAAAATATAAATCCAAATTATATCATGTTTGGTATCATTTTAATTAGAAACATTTCGCCAGTATATTAATGAAATTCTCATTAATCCCTTAACGTGCGCCTTCTTTTCAAATAATCGTAAAAACCTTACTTTCCGTTATCCGTGGAAACTTTTATTTAAACATATTTTCGTACAATATTTACGTGTATAAGGACAAAAAATAAAATATTTAATCAAATACATTAATTTTATTTCTTCAAGTTATATACGTAAAATGTAGGTACAATAAGTGTAATGGTTTTAAAGACAACAAAAAATGAAAAATTTGACCTTACTCGGTGTCAGTACCATAATGAATGAAACTGATCGTTGAAACAATAACAATCGTAAATAAAGCAAACTTTTGAAAAGCCACTCTCCAGACGGTTGTATTTAATGATAGGTGTATGTAAATACATAATCGTGATATTTTAAGCTCACGACAAGTTTCAAAAATGATTAAAAATTACATTAAAATATGCAAATACTAAATTAATACTTCTTCTTTTATTTAATCATCACTTTCTTGAGATTACTTTTCATTGCCAGTGTTTATTCGAGCATGTACATCGTGGTAACATAAAATACGACACTATTCGAATTAATTCGAGTGAGCACATTTCTGCCAGTCCCGTCCACTTGAGTTAATTCAAGGGTGCGTGTTAAGGGGTTAATGAACCACGATTAAAAATGGTTTCATCATTGTATTAGTGTTGTGTCGTGGATACGCAGGCTTCTAATTTGTCTCGGTTGGTTTTTGAGGCTCAAAAACCGTGTTGCTTTACTAACATGTGGCTCCAAACTTCGAGCGTTTATCAACAATTTACTGTATAGCACCACGTGACGATCAGAGCGAACAAGATATATCAAGACCAAGAGAGATAGAACAATAGTGCGAGCAATTCGACGATTTTCGAAGTAATGCTGCAGTGTTTCAGGGTGTTAATCTGGGGGGAATTACGCAGAGCGATCGGAGTATCCGTGTTGTTCCTGCGCCCCCCGGGATGCCATCTTTCCAGCTCTGTACAGTAGTACAGATGGCTCAAAATTAAATTATGTGTATACTACTGCAAATAATAAAATACATATAAAAATGAAAGGACAGATGTCAAAGAAAACTATTACCAAACTTAATTACTCGGGGAAATGTATAAATTACTATACAGGGTGAACCAAAAATGTTGGAGGACACGGAAATAGGAGATTCGTGAGGTGATTTGAAACGAGTTTTTCCTTTGCAAAAATGTTATACGAAGCTTTGTTAACGAGATATTAACGATAAACCCCGACCAATCAGAGCGAGTTCCCGCGGTAACGTTAGCTACGCGCTGCAATGGGCAGCCAACGCTACCATGGGAGCTCGGCACGGCAGACTTGCGCTCTGATTGGTTGGGGTTTTTTGTTAATATCTCGTTAACGAAGCCTCGGATAATATTTTTGTTAAGGAAAAACTTATTTCAAATCACCTAACGAGTCTTTCATTCCCGAATCATCCAAAATTAATCCCTTTATATGAAAATCATTGTCGAGTGTTAGAAGATTGGAAACCAAAATTAAAACAAATAAAATTATTATCTTCCAGTTGTATAAATTCTGGATTGTTTTTATATAAATCCAATCAATGTAGCAAAGAGACAATTGAGTAAAGTAGTTTAATTAACTCTTATAGAAGCCATTTGAAAGCCTTACCAACCAGATAAATCTCTTATGTAAGTTCTTTGATACATATTGATGTGCACTTTATTAGATTATGATACGCAATGATACTATGATTTTAACAGCTCTTTGTGTTTTACAAGTTAGTAATAATAACAAGCTAGGTAATGATATTTAAAATCCATTCTAAGTAAACAATACTTAATACAACAATTAAATCTAATGATTTACATATTAATGTAAAGTAAGTGTGCTAGTGTTCTCTATTATTTATTACTGATGTAATATTTACATATATTTGAATATCAAAAACAGATTTTTATAAGGGAGGGGTTAAGCTTCAAGAATACAATCACAATTT